AAGGCTTACCAGAGTACAAGTGTTTCCTTCTGTGTGGTAGGGAGAATCCCAATTGGTGAGGATGTATTTGTGAACAATCGGATTCAAAAGGTGAAGAAGATTTCGTTGCTGGGGCAAGAGTACTGCAGTGGTGAAAAGAAGAAGCGCGGGTCTTTTGTGAGGGTATTGTTTCTTGAGAGAACAAATGACGATGTATCTGAATTCCCTGATCAAATAGAGTATTTATTTACTCATACCATCAAGATTGGTGGAGTCAAAAGAGTGTCAATGTTCACATTCATTAAATGGTTTCCCGCCTACTATTCAAGTAGTCATCAGCCATTAGCTGATCAAGGTCTGCAGTTGTGGGACAAGGGATTTATGGAAGAAGATGCTTCGTGCATTGTTCCAGTGCATCGTCTGCATTCGTGCTTTGCGTTGACTACACATAAAATGCAGAGTGGGACGCAAAAGCACCTGGTTATTCCACTGCCTAGAAAAGTAGTCACATAAAAAATAAATAACAACTATTTAGGTTACCAGTATAAATAATTATAATACAAGTTTTTTTGACTGTAAAAAGGTTTAGCTTTATTTATCTCTGTATTCTTATTTAGTTTTAACATTACTTCTTTATTAAGTATTTAAAAGAGCAATAGTAAATTATATTACCAGTTTTTTTTAACTATTAACAAATAGTAAAAACCATTATTTATTTCTCTTGCTTTTATCAATAATATAAAAGACAAAAAAACTTGTATATTTAATACCCGACATTTACCATTTTCTTTGCCTTTATTACATATTCTTGCTAGTATCAGTATTATAATTTCCAATAAAAAAAAACGAGGATAAAACAATCAGGGTTATATAATTAAATAATTGCTTTGTATATATATTTTTTTTATTAATTGGCTTTAAAATAAAATAAAATAAAATAAAATAAAATAATAATTTATTATTTTGATTTTTGATTTTGTCTTTTTCTTTTTCCTTTTATTCATATATTAATTGCTTCTCATCTTGACAATACCACCTGATTATATTTTACCACTTCACCCCACATCATTCAACACAATCAATAAAAATCATTAAAGTACTATATGCACTTTGTAAACAAAATAATGATTTATTGTTGGCGTGTGTGAATCCAAGCAGCAACACGTGCCTTTTTCTCATTCGATAACTCGGTGTTTCTCAAAATAATTGGATAGACAGAATTGCCAATGACGTCTGGTCCCTTGTTAGCAAGTCTCTGTTTCTTCAAAACAGTAAAGTATTCATCCACCTGCATTATAATATAAATACTTTTGAGTTAGAAGTATTAAAAAAAATAACTTTTATCATGAGAGCCTTACCAAGAGATGTCTATTTCTAGGAGTATATCTAGTTTTATTTTTCTCCTCATCTGACTCAATATCAGACAACATGTCATAGTCCAGAAGGTTAACGACAGTCTCACCAAACTTAGACTCAAGGTTTGCCTTGTCAGCTAAGTGAATTGCCTTGTAGTCTGCAAGAATCTGAAAAAAAAAGTTAAAATAGTTTACACAAAAACTGTTGACTATACTTACGTTTCTCTTTCTGGACCGGCGTCGAGAAATCCGATTTTGTCGAGCTATCTTTTCTGGCAAAGCTTTTGCCCTTTGAAGCATATACGAAATATGTCTTCGGGTTTTCTCTTCCACAACTGCAGACGAAACAGACTTTACTTCAGCTTGCTGATGTGTGTAGCTCTGCACTACATCAGCAATGGGACGGTTGGATGTCGAGAAGGCGCCCTCATTGACTGTCAATGGCATTGTTGCCAGAACTGCTCGTGTTTGAGAACGGATCAATCTCTGCAAAATATAATGTAAGTAACTTTGCAATATTCTATTACTAGTATATATCCTACCAAAACCATTGGAAGGCGGTACTTTATATATTCTCCTGTAGTAAGAGCCTGACCAATGGGACTATGGTTCGAATTGTTATTCTGGCCATTGGTTGCTCCCATGTTGTGGTAGACCTTCTCCAAAAGTGAATGAGATTCATTCAGTTGGGTGCTCATGGTGGACAAAGTGGACAGGACAGTACCATCTAGCTCTGCGCTAACTGTCAAGCTGGGAAGAATTTCCCGTTGTCTTGTGCTTGCTGCTGTCCCAGCAGTTTGTTGAACAGACTTTTTTGTAGTCGTCTTTTTCATTTTTTTGGATTGCTGCGTATTAGAAGACATGAATTGAGATATTTAAGGTTAATGAAAGAAATGGAAACAATGTGAATACTTTAATAATTAGAGTCGGGTTTCTTTAAAATAATAAAATAAATCAAAACATACGTAAAGGTGGAAAGTAAGGCACCAAAAGATTATTTTTCTGATGATGCTCTTTATAGCATTTTGCTTTCTATATTATACTTTTCTTTATAAGCCGACTTGGAAAGGCATTTGTAATAGCTTACATCCATTACAAAGATGTGAGAGATTATGGTTTAGTACGTAATGTCTTGTCTCAATCGGGATGGGTTGAATGACTTTCAATTTGCTCCATTGATTCTATCAGTTTCTCAGGGTCAACGGTCATAAAATTATAATTTTGAATTTCCCCCATTTTTTTTTTAATTTTTTCTTTCTTCTTCTTTACTTCTTTCTTAATGTCTAACATGGTAAGCATCAACTCACATCAAAGTTTCAAGACCTAATCATCTTGTTGTTTTTATTCTAGTATGATACACTATGCTTTAAACCACCAAGTCCTTCTTAACTGCCTCAAAAATAATGATAAAAAGGTAATAAAAATATACTTGAATATTTATTCACGATTTATGTATTAATTATTCTGCTTAGATTTTTCTGGCCCATTAACAAAGACATATACCTTGGGAGGGTTTACAAAATGGTATGTTGTATAAATATTAACGTGCACCTTCAAGATACAACTTGTATTTATTATTTTTCTTATGTATACCATATACTCTATAGTCACTGGTCTTTATCTCGGTCCTCTTTTTTTGATTATATACCGACTCTTATTCTCTACAGACAGACAAGTAAGTAAATAATCATTCTACTTCTTTGTATGTAATTCTAATGAAAAGAAATTATTTTATAGATAATATCTCCATTTCCCGCATGCTGCATCTTCTATTGTATTGAATAATTGGTAAGCAAAAAATAGTCTGATACTCTTTATTTCATTCTAATAAAAGATTATATTTTATAGACAATGTCATTGTATTTTGTGTTTGTCAACTCTTCTGTTTTCTGAACTGTCTGGTAAGCAAATCATAGTCTTATTTACTTTGCATCGTATTAACAAAAGTTATTATTTTTATAGACAATATTACTATAATTGAGACATTTAACTAAAACGTTGATATATCTATCTTTATGTTAAAGACATCCATCTGTTCTCGTGTTTAACTTTATTGTAAGTACATTCATATTTTTTAAATAATCTGTTGCTCTCAAATAAATATACCTAGAACATTTTTTCTAATCCACCCTATAATTATTTTTTATAAAAGTAAACAAACAGGCCAAGAAGGCATGCTGCAGCAAGCAATGGAATACAGTAGGGGTCGATTGCACCAGAGGTGGACCAATGGATGTTCGAAAGGAATAACATAGTATCCACTAAAATAAATGATGGCATCGAGTGTGATGTTTCTACCCAATTGCAACAGAAGACGATTAGTGATGTAGACGAATAGAAACAGCTAGAAACAATAAGAAAATTTTTTCAAACCAATAAAAACCTTTAAAATGACCCATAAACCTCTAAATCTTGACTAAATCTTGACCAAATCTTGACCAAATCTCTTCTTTAACAACCCATATATAGTAATAAAAAGATGTTGAATGTTATGTGGTGTATTTAAAAAAAACCCCCAAAACCAATATAAAATGAAAAATCTGCGGTCTGATAAAAGTGCGTCTATATTTTCACGACCAAAATATATCACATAAAAGTATATCACACTTTTTCTTTTTGCGTTCCTAAAATTCAGTATACTAATTGTATTCATTTAGCTCACGAATTTTAAAAAATTGGCATCATAAATTCCGATCGAATTCATGCTGAATTTTATTCATTCAGACAGTATTTGGTCAAGATTTAGTATACTGAATTGGCCCTCCTTTTGCAGTGGTTGTGTAATGGTTGGTTTACACTGTATGAGTGTGTAGTGTACGTGTACCTGGTGTGTAACAGTTCCGGAGATTGTTAACTTGCCAGGTTCATTAGCAAGAAGGAACCAGTGTTTGGTTGTGGGGTCTGTTCTTCACTCAATTGTGGTGTGTATACCACAATATTACATGTCCAATAATATATATAGACAGATTTGAAATTTTGATCAATTTAATCTGATATGACAAAGACAATGTAATACCCAACATTTAAAAAAGTATTTGAAAGTTCCAAATGCATAAAGGTTGCTAATATGTCTTAGATACTAGTTATCCAGTAATATCTTCTACAAGTATATTCACCATCTTAGACATCTAAAACATATATACAAAAGACCAATTGGCAATGACAAGATCTTTTACTCTAAAAGTCAACCATTATTACTTGCTTGTGAATTGCGATTTTTATTGCCAATGTCAACTCTGACACAAGTTAAAATAATAGAAAGATACACCCAGTCGAGACTTTGTCAGAGTTGACATTGGTGTCCAAAATTGGGAATTGCAAGCAACCAGTAATAGTTGACTTTTTAGGATAAAAAATCTTGACATTGCCAATTGATCTCTTGTAAATGTTTTAGATGTTTAAGATGTTGAATATACTTGTAGAAGATATTACTGGACAACAAGCATCTAAGACATATTATTATAGCTATTTTTTAGCCAGAGATCAAACATCATTTTGTATAAATAGTCAAGAAACATAATTAATAAAAAGCATCTTTATTCTTATCTAAAAAACTATTCTTAAAACTTGACGATCTCTAGTGGTATTGATTCTGTGACTGAGTTACAAGTGCCAGAAAAGAAATACCAGATCAAGACTTGACACTTTTATCTTCATTTACGATTCTCAGTGAGTTTGATCAATTTTGGCTGTGTTATAGCATTGGAAAAACAACCCAGATTGAAAACGACAATTGTCATTCTGATGTCGTTCCTGATCTAGGCTATCTTCAAATTCACTGTAAATGTAGCCAAACTGGTCAGGCTTTAATAACACAGGAGTAAGTAAATAAGAGAGAGGATAAAAAGATGACTTTTATTATTTTGCTTTGGGTTATCTTATATACTTTTTGAAATGATTATTCATTTTTGACTACACTCAAGTAGTGTCTAGTAATATTACAAATTATTATAAGTTGATTAAAAATTTCTAAAATTACAAACTGATGAATAATCATTCTAATTCCTGCTTCTTTTTTAAGAACAAGTCACTAGAACATGTATCACCAAAATTAAGCACGACACTGATTGGCTGACAAGAATTCGGGTACAACATATTAGAGTAAAATAAAAAACAAGAATCTAGATAGACTCTGAACAAACTCAAGTGTGAGACTACCAGGGGTCGAACCTGGAATCTCCTGATTCGTAGTCAGACGCCTTGTCCATTGGGCCATAGTCCCACTTGATATATTGACACGGGTTGTTATATTACCATTCTTAGTATTTAACAAAATTTCTGTTGTCTGGCAGTGTGGTGATGTTGTAGAATTCTTTGTAATTCTAGAAAAATTATATTCTATTATTATTATTATTTTTTGATTTTCCAACAGTGGCCGAGGCTGAATAGAAAGCAATTTTTTTATTTGTAGAGCAAAATACTAATAAGTTCAACGAAAAAGCATTATCCTGTCAACAATAACTTTAGGCAACTATACATTGTATATTATTTTCTCATTATATTTAACTGAACAAATCAACTTGGATTTAATATTATTTTTATTATATATTCTTACAAGCATAATTATCTTCATGATTATGACTTAATAATTATATTATTTTATTTGTACTTAATGATAGTAAAGAACAAATCACATTTAATAGATTGTCAATTATACAACTTTTATTATATTTTTTTTTATAATTTTATTTATTTAATTATTCAACAAGTCAGTTGCAAAACTATAAATATCGCAATACTTGCATTTAATAAACATAAATTTTTCTTTGTTTTATTTTCTGACAAGTTCTCTGAATATTTAACGCTGTTGATATTTTACTTGTTTGATTATCTGAGTATATTAAGTCAAGTCTATTGAGATTGATCAATAGTACTGTTTTTCTCTTATTTTTCTTTTATTGATTTTATTATCTTTAATTTTACATTTTCTTTTGAGTTTGTCTTTTTCTCTCTTGTAAAAAAGAGAGATTATTTCACATTTACAAACCTATTCAAACCTCAAAAACCATGATAATATCACCTGTCAACATTTACTACAAATTCAAGTACCACACTCATCAGTTTTTCACGTGTCTTGTGAACAAATCCTGCTTCAGCCAGTTTCTGATGATAGACACCAGATGGTGGGTTCCTTTGGTGGTTTGGTCTGGCGGTGAGCCATGACAAGTGATATCGGACTCGTGGATGTTGACATCAATGGTGAGTCAACCAGGTGACGTGTCTTGAGAGACAGGTATGATCCCCCCAGGTTTCTTAGAAAATCTTGTTTCCGATACCCTTTATACCCAAACCTCCAATTTCATTCCATTCCTTAAATAATTAGAATACCCATCTATATTATCACCTCAGAAACATCTGTCACCTACTAAAAATTATACTTCTTTCCTCTAATTTTATACACTTCTTTATTGCCAATATTTATTTACACTATTTTTTATTAAATTTTTATTAGACTTCATTATTATACTATTCACTGAAAAAATACCCCTGAATATACTAGTGCCAAAATAATTCAGTGATAATGTATATCTAGAGTATATTTCATCTCAGCACTACTTTTTGTGTTCAAATAAAAAAATCTGCTTTTACTATATTCTATTGGCTCGGATATAACAAGCAACAAAAGTTATTTTATTTATTACTATAAAGTCTTTGTGAATAGATAAATGTAACACCTGTTTCCCTTTTATTTCATTATTAAAAAAACACAAACGTCATGTCTTCTACTATCAAACAAAACTTTGAAGAGTGCTATTATACCAAGTGCATTAAAAATTATAATGAATACATCTTAGTGTCAAAGAGAACTGCCCAGTGTCATGGCAAGAAAGCAGCTTTAAAAGATGCTATCAGAAGTGAACTTGATATGTCATTTATAATATAAAATTTGCATTTTTATATATTAATAGCTTTTATATTAAACACAGGTGCGCAGAGATATGTAATGAATGTTGATGCAGAGTGAAAGACATTTTTATTTGGGTATCAAAAAAACAAGTTTCTTATTATATTTTATATTTGTAGCTATTGTAGTCCAAGAATCTGGATCCGTAAAAGTTCTTGCACATCAGTCTGACTTACCCGTTTTGGATATCTCCCCTATGTCAGTTGATTATGAGGTTGATGTCAATTTCAATGACATGAACTTTGAGTATGAGAGCAATGAGAATGCCAAAGATACTGTTGATATTGATGTTGAAGAAGTCAATACTGAATGTTTATGTGAAAGTCAAAAAAATCTAAAAAAAAGTCAAAAAAATTAATATTTTTTTATATTTTTAAATAGACATGTTTTCAAACAGCAGTATGCCTGAGAATCCTGTACACAGATTCATCGCAACATTCACTGTGCTATTTGCATCCCGCTACGTGGTCAACAAGGGCGCAGTTGTCTTGATTGAGTTCATCAACAAGCTCTTGAAGATTTACAAGCAGGACTTCCAGCTTCCCACATGTCTGCCTGGTCTTCAGTATATGACAGGATTCTGTGAGCTCTCCAAGGACATAAAACAATTTGTGGCCTGCAAGGATTGCCATGCAATTTACAAAGAAAATCAATCTGTCCCTCCTCGCTGCTTCTTTGTAAAGACATGTGCTCATGCAGCTTGTAACTGTGAAATGACAAAGAAATCTTTGTCTGGTGCTTTGGTTCCCAAGCATAGTTTCCATTACCAGTCCATCAAAAATGTATTCAAGATTCTTTTTAATCATCCAGGCTTTGAAGAAAAGATACGTCAATGGAATACAGAGCTAAAATTAGTAGACACAATGTGCGATGTGTATGATGGTGCGGTTTGGAAAGAACTCAAGGATAGTAATGGTGTTTTATTTGTTGAGCAGCCTCGTTTGCTGATGCTGATGCTCAATATTGACTGGTTTCAGCCGTTTGATAAAGTTACATACTCCTGTGGTTCAATCTACTTGGCCATTAACAACTTGCCTCGCAGTGACTGGTTTAAAGCCAAGAACATAATCCTTGTAGGACTTATGCCTGGTCCCAAGGAGTCTAAAACTGATGAGATAAATAACTATCTTGAGCCAATGGTAGATGAGTTGATACAGCTGTATTGTGGGGTAAGAATCCCAACATTTGAGTCTCCTGCTGGCGAAGTGATTCGTGCTGCACTGATGATGGTTGCCTGCAACATCCCAGCTGCCAGAAAGACCAGTGGATTTACTATGCATAATAGCACTTGCGCATGCTTTAAGTGCAACCGTCATTTCACTCGCTTTGACAGCACAAACAAGGTTGATTTCCGTAGATTTAAAGAGTCTGAGTGGTGTCATCGTAACTGTGAGAAGAATAGACTGCATGCTGAGGAGTGAAAGAACGCAGTTATCATCTCAGAAAGGCAGCATCTGGAAATCGAAAATGGTGTTCGATGGTTGTAGTTGCATCGCCTTGGATACTTTGATATAGTATGTGAAACAATCAATGATCCCATACACAACCTGTTCTTGGGGACAGCAAAAAGAATGATAGATCAGTGGATTGAACGTGGTGTTCTCGGAGACAAATATTTCATTGCCATGCAAAAGATAGCTGATAAGATGATTGTGCCAAGGGGATATACTGCATTAAAAAGCAAAATTGGCAAATAATTTGCATTTATGAAAGCAAACAAGTGGAAGTTGTGGGTATTGATATATTCTCCAGTGGTGTTGAAGTCAGTGCTCTCATCCTTGCATTTCAATAACTGGATTGATTTTGTCTATGTATGCTGTCACCTTGTAAAGCCCAGCATTACATTTGATAATATTAATACTGCCCATAGACATCTCAAAAGCTTTTGTGAAAAATGCAACGAAATTTACACTACCACAATCCTTATCTATAATATGCACTTACATCTCCATTTTCGAGAAACTATTTTCAATTTTGGACCAGTGTATAGTTATTGGCTCTTTGCATTTGAGAGATACAATGGCCTACTCAAGAATATCAGCACAAACAGCAAGAACGGTTTTGAAGCCACATTTATGAAATGCTTTGTTGAAGATATATACAAAAGTGATTTTGTTAATTCTGCTCTCACATGTCTCACTCAAGCTCCCTTTCTTCCTGTCCTTTTCAAACTTGTCTGTTCATCTACACCTGTCCTTATCTTGCCATCTGCCTCCTTCACATTGTTCAGCCATCATTCATTTTGCAAGCATTTGTGAATTCTTCTGAAACTGCTAGAATTCCTATCTTAGACAACAAATCTCTCCCACCTACATCTCTCCCACTTTCAGCTAGTAAACCTTCTTCAATGGGTGATATTGATTATTCCCATTTGTTGGAATACTACAAACTCACGTACCTCACTCCTGATCTCGTCCATTATCAAAATGCTGCTGCCTCTCCATTCTTTGTTGACAATCAGATTATAAAGTTAAAATCAATCAATATTCTTGGCCAAGTGTTCTATGGCAATAATGGCACCACTGGCCGCAGATCATATGTCCAATCATTATTTCTTGGCAGTGATAGAAGTATAGAAACAACCTTCACTTGTCAAATCAAGTATATCTTCATTCATTCATTTACTCCTCCTCCAACGTCGCCCTACTATGAAGCTGATTCCACTCATCATGATCAACATGTATTTGTATTTGTCAACTGGCTTCTATTACATGGAGATAAATCATGAGAGAAAGATGAAGTTGATATTTGTGGTTCAACACCTTCGTCATCAAACTATCATTCAATTTTGCCTGTACATAGAATCTCTTTAGAAGTAGCAATTGCTAATCATACAACAGGACTTGTCCAAAAAAACTGGTAATTGCATTACCAAAAAAGCTTTATGCTTAAAAAAAAACAATAATAAATATCCTTTCTTTCTTTTCTTTCTTTTTTAAAAAAGATAAAGTAAAGTAAATGATGATAACAAAAAAGGGCAGAGAAAAATAATTACTATCTTTATATAAATCGTCAGCATCGAGTTTGTGAAGATAAGAATAAATAAGATGAGATAAACAATGATTTTTATTATTTTTATTATGGCCCATCTCTAAGGGTCCACAGAGGGAAACATAACATGACGTCATTGGGAACTAGTTTCTCAGACAGGCTGGCAAGATTTCTGTCTAACAACTGGGAAATGTTGTTACCCAAGTTTTCTTTCACAATCTCATCAATGTTGAAGATAAGGTTATTAAACTAAAAACATATTTATATATGTTGTAAATGAGTATTGACTACTGCTGTAATTGAGAATAAGTCTGAAGGAAATAATATAAGGCCTCAGCTATTCCAGTCAAAGGTGTCTACCGATTACTTTATTATTTAACACACAGGTTTAGCATGCATGATAGTGATTATATTTCATATGATGATATCACCATAATATGGGATACATCAGTGGATTATTATAAGCATAATTATAACTTATAAACACATTTACTTTCGATGTTTATACTTCATTGGAACTACACACATTTATATAATTAATTATACATTAATTATCCCAAGATCACGTTGCTCTGATTAAGGCTCAGATAGGATCAATTACCTGACCCCAGTCATATAATTTTCCCGATCCAAAATAATATAAATAGCAGTAGTAGTTCAGTGTAGGAACCTGGTCAAACTTTGATACAAAATCCTTTCTCAATAAACAAAACCTACACAATTTCTCACAAATCTTTGTTTCTAATCTCAAATCTTCAATTCTTCCTCTTAAAAACTTCTTCAACTTCAACCACCACAACAACTACTTTACCAAAATTGTTAACTGAATAGTTTTTCCCTTTATTTATAACATACTTCTTTTCAATATTTTTCTTTTCTTATAGTTATATATTATAACTTCATCTATTTCTTCTTTCATGACGAAATATTTATATAGCTATTTTTCTTTATATTTTTATTTACAATTATCTCATCAAGTTTTATCTAGCCTATTTTTGCCATATATTTTATCTATAAAGTAATGTAAATTTATATCTTTAAAATCCTTAGTAACTAAAAATCATGTGATTTACCTATTCCCAATTTGGAACTTACAACCATCTTAAAATTCTTATCTTTTCTAAATCACATGACTTAGCAACTACCACTTTTCATTATCTTAAAATCCTTGCCTTTTCTAAATCACATGACTTACCGACTATACTCTGCCTTTGAAATACAAAAAACAAACACATTTCCCCCTTCCTCTCTCATATACATATATCCTATTCAGTTAATAATGAAGATGTCTTTTTTTCCCAGATTAAAAAAGCGTACCTAATTATTTTCTGAAAATGAATATAATAAAAATTATTATAATAAATGTTATTTTCTCTAAAAAAAACCCCTTCTTCATCTTTTAAGAATTTTATTGAAACATAACTTTAAAAAAACTAAAATTAAAAATATGCTTTCCGCTGAGAAACGTTGTGCTTCATGCAAGTTGGTTTGTCATAGCTGTAGTTCCAGCTTACTTTGTCCAATGAATAAAAAGAAAAATACTCTTAATATTCCTCAGAAAAGAACAAACGAGTTTATATTTATTGAAAAATATCCTGCAGAGAGCAGTAGATGTAATACTAAACTATTACAATTAAGCAATAACACAAATTTTAACTTTTGTAACGCTGACATATTTAGCTGCTGCTTTGAGAATGAGAATTGAGGAAGAGCCTGTATTGAGCACAGAATCAGTAGCTTCTCCTGTTAATATTACCTCTGAAGATATTACCTTTGAAGACGAAGACATCGAAGAATTCGAATTAGATGAAAAAATTGAAGAAGAAATTGAAGAAGAAGACAGAGGAGACGATGACGAAGATGAAAATGAGGACGAAAAAGAAGAAGAAGAAGAAGAAGAGATCATTGTGCCAGTGGATGTAAGCACTGTTTCCCATTAATGTCCCAGCTGTTCTGGAACTGATCATTGACAAGGTAACAGCTTACAGTGTCCCAACAACCCGAGGTACAGACTTGGCTGCAGATCAAGAATTAATGGTCTAAGCACCCACAAAATTGCTTGCCTATCTGTGTATACTGAACCAGCTGTTGACAATCAAGGGCAAATGGATGTAGAATGTCAACACTGTGGAACCTTGATGTGGATGAACGCGAAAATTGGCAGTTCAACAGTTGAGAACATTAAATTTTCTATGTGCTGTAGTTATGAAAAGTTTGTCCTTCCTCCTTTGGAACCAATGCCACCTGAATTCACTGAACTCTTGGCACATGGAAGACAAAACACCAGTCATTTCTATGAAAAAATCAGAAGCTACAACAGTACTTTGAGTTTTACTTCTTTGGGAGCAAAAATCAACAATTTGGTTGCCAACAATATAGGAGGAGCCTATAATTTCAGAATCCATGGAACTGTTTGCCATAGGATGGGATCTATTTCCTCAACAAGTGATCAAGATCTTGCTCATTCTAAATATGCCCATTTATATATATATAATTCTCAAACTCAAGTTCAACACCGTCAACACAATGCTCTATATTTAAACAAAGAAATTATTGAAAAGATACAGTCTGTTCTTTTGAATATCAATCCATTTGTGTCTTTGTTCAGATCAATGAATCAAATTTCTAGCCATAATGGCCATATGGCAGACCTGACATTGCGTTTAATTGCAGAGGCTTCCCAAGATCAGAGATGCTACAATGCTCCAACCACTGATAAAGTTGCTATATTAATAATGAGCAATGAAATAGCCTCTTCTCAAGACATTGTTCTGCATACTATTAATAACACTCTCTAAAACATAAATGAATACCATCAATCCTATGATGCTCTTCACTATGTTTTGATTTTTCTATACAGTGAAGATGGCTGGACCATAAAATCTACCTCTCTTTCAGGAAAGTGTGTAACAGTGATGCAGTAGTATTCCAGTCATTTGATGTACCGTCAATCATCTCAACATCACCTCCACCTCTTTGGCCACCTCTTTCAGCAATTTATTGTTGATATGTATACCAAAGTTGAACATAACCATTTACACTACATCAACAAAAATCAAGCTCACCTTCGTGTAGATCTGTATAGTGGCATCCAGGATGCAATTACCCTTGACAATACAAATGTGGCAAATCTTGGAAAGAGAGTAATTCTTTCTTCCTCATTTATTGGCAGTTCACAACACATGCGTGAGTTGTATCAGGATGCAATGAGCATTGTTCATCACTTTGACAAGCCTGATTTGTTCATTACATTTACTTGCAGCCCACAGTGGCCAGAGATTACTTCTTCTCTTCTAGGTAGACAAAAAGCTAATGACAGGCCAGATTGTGGTATTTCAGGTATGAAACAATAAAAAAATAATAAATTTAATAAATAGAGACATATAGAAATACTTTGAGACTGTATATAAGCTGCCATTTATTCATAAATAAAAAGTGTCCCTTTTTATAAGAAAACACCATCTGCTCTTGTCATTACGTCTTAGTTTCTTAAGGCTTTCTTCCTTTACTTTATTTGGTTATTAGAGTGTATTTACTGCTTAACTAGTGTTGGTGTTACAATTATGACATCAAGTCATAAATCGTACTTCTTTAGCTCTTAGCTATTCTTTTCTCTTTTATACTAGAGCTTTAGGACTTCCTACTAAATTAGCTCCATATCGATCTGACACAGTTTACCCAGCAGTATGATATAATTATCTTAACAATCTTTAAGCTATTATCTACAGTACTAACTGTAATAATTATTGGGCTGATTACTTAATCGTTTATATATATTTTATACTGACAAGATGATAGCTACTACGCTATCCCAATATGAATATGTTCTTATATGTGATAAATCCAACATCCGAGTGTCTGGATCACCACACAGATATTTGCTCTCAAGTTTTTAACTTGAAACTAAAGGAGCTTATAAAGGACTTGACCAAGAGATATGTATTTGGGAAAGTGCTGACATTCATTTATGTGATCGAATTTCAGAAGCAGGGACTCCCACATATCCACATATTATTAATTCTGTGTCCAGAAGATAAGCTAACAACAGTTCAAGACTATGATCATATAGTATCAGCCAAAATATCTGATCTAATTACTGAACCTCTTGCATATGCTACAGTCAGCAGAAATATGATCCATGGTCCATGCAGTGAGCTAAATGAGACAGCACGGTGCATGAAGAATGATAATTGTGAAAAGCATTACCCAAAGAAAGAACAAACAGAAACAGTTGAGGATAGGACTGGGCATCCTTTATATAAAAGATGCTTAAATGGAAGAACAGTTAAGAAAGGAGATATAGAAGTGAATAACCTTTGGGTTGTTCCTCACAACAAATATTTGTGTGCAAAATATGATGCCCATATTAACGTTGAGATCAGTACCTCTGTATCTTCTATCAAATATCTGTAAAAGTACATTTACAAAGGCCATGACTGTGCAATAGCAAGCGTGCAGCCAACAAGAACAGAAAATGCAGTAACTAGAGCTCCGCAAGAAGAGCAACAACACACAAATGAAGTGAATGAATTTCTTGATGCCAGATATGTGTCAGCATCTGAGACATGTTGGAGAATATTCTCTTTCAAGCTCCATCACGAATTCCCCACTTACCAAAGACTTGCTGTTCATCTCGAAAACCTGCAGCCTGTATACTACCTTAATTCCACAAACGCAGAAAGACTGTCCAACATCAACATCAACACCACATTGACGTCATGGTTTGTATACAATGTTGAAAATACAGAGTCTCGACAATATCTCTATGTGGAGTTTCCTAGCCACTATGTTTGGCAAACAAAAGAAAAAGTGTGGACTCCATGTATAAGGTTTTAAAAAGGAACCATAGGAAGAGTATATGCAGTATTACTTAGAGATCCTGAGAAGTACTTCCTGCATATTTTATTACACAACGTTTGAGGAGCCACAAGTTTCCAACATTTAAGAACTATAGAAGGTGTAGAATATGACACAAATCAGACTGCATGCCGTGCTCTTGGTTTGTTAGTAGATGATTGTGAGTGGAATACTTGCATGGAAGAAGCTGCTGCCCTTTCGCTTCTATCAGAAATGAGATGGTTGTTTGCAGTCCTGTTAGTCTTTTATAAGATATCAGACCCTTTTGCTCTTTGGAATGCCCACTGAAAATCAATGATAGAAGATTATCTTCACACAGCACAAACAGAGCAATTCAACCCTTCTCTTGAATCATCTCAAGTTATGTATGACCAATGCATGTGGAGTATAGAAAACCACCTGTCCATTAATACAGTATCAATATCTTCTTTTGATGGTTTCGTCCTTCCACCTATGCCAGTAATAGCAGAGCAAAGTCGGACATATAGAAGACATACATTGGTTAGTGAACAGGAAGACCTTTCTGCTGAAGCATTGACATTACCAGACCCAGATACCTTTGATTTTAACAACGATCAAAGATCAGTTTACAGCAGTATAATGGAAGCAGTCAATGCAGAACATAATATGTCAAGACTCTTCTTCATTGATGGCCCAGGCAGTACTGGAAAGACTTTTGTTTTTAATTCTTTACTCAGAAAAGTTAGACAACAAGAAAAGTTTATACTTGCTGTTGTAACAAATGGAATCGCTGCTTTGCTTTTGGATGGTGGTCAAACAGCTCATTCCCTTTTCAAAATCCTTCTCGAAGTTGATACACATTCAATGTATAATATTCCCATCAATTCCCAACTTGCAAAATTACTCCAAAGAACTGAGCTCATTGTCTGGGACGAAGCCTTGATGATAAGCAAGGATATTTTTAATGCTGTAAGTCAAACCATGCAAGATATCATGAAGGCAATAAACCCAATACTTGAGCATGTACTATTTTGAGGGAAACTTTTTGTTTTTAAAGGAGACATCCATCAAGTTCTTCCTGTTGTCCCTCGATCTTCAAGAGCATAACTTGTAGCACAGTGTATCAACAAATCTCTTTTGTGGTTGTATGTAAAGCAGCTTCCCTTAGTCAGAACATGCACGTGGCACAAGTAAGTGACCAAAATAGAGTAGATGATCTCAGAGATTTTGCAGCATATTTGTTACAAGTTGGTAGTGGCTCAGTTTCTGTAGCTGATGACAAA